CTCGGCCGGGCTCGCCGGCCCCGCCCCCCGCCGGGTGCCCACCTGGCCCGGCAGCGCGGAACCACGTGCTGTGCAGACTCAGCGAGGACAGGCGTGCTGGGCTTGCTTTGCAATGACTTTTATTTGTATGACGACTTATAATTATAAAGCACTTTCAGAGACACTTATGGAATCCTCACAAAAGCCTAGCTCGGTGGCATGGGGCTGCATGTTCCAGAGGATTGACGTTTTGCCCATCACTGGAGGTCTCAAGCCTGGGTGTTCCTGATTCCCAGGCTAAAGCTTTTCAACTTGCCACGCTTAATGGTTAACTGCCCCACCCACTGATGAATGGATAAATAAATAAAATGTGGCCCCGGCCCGTGTGGCTCAGTGGTTAGAGCGCCGACCCGCGCACCCGAAGGGTCTCAGGTTCGATTCCAGCCAAGGACATGTACCTCGGATGCAGGCTCAATCCCCAGCCCTGGTCGGGGCATGTGAGGGAGGCAGCCAATCTAGGTGTCTCTTTCACATCCATGTTTCTCTCTCTGTCTCCACCCCCTTCCCTTCCACTGTCTCTGAAAAACAATGGGAAAAATATCCTCCAGTGAGGCTTAAAAAAAAAAAATTTTTACAGAGGTTATTAGAAGCGTCTGAACGGCTGACAAGCACTACATCGCTCCAGGAGGTTCACCTGAATCAATTATTATATGTCAGACTTGGCGTTTACCCACCCGCTTTCAAAAGCAGTGATCACATATTAGAGTGAAGGACAGTTACTGCTGTGCTTGCCGGACTGAAATGATCACTGCAACCAGTTCTCCTGCTCCAGGGCAGACGCGGGTTATCAGCTAGGGAACCGGGAAGAAACCTCTTATTCCCGGGAATAAAGAGCCTGCTGCTGGGCGGGGGCTGTTTTAGCTTTGCTACCTGTTTACTGACAGATGCAAAAGGCTGCATTCCAAGCACCGGTTCTCCCTTGTAGTCCGGCTTTTGAAAAAGCCCTTATCTTTCAGTGACGCAGACTGAAACGTTTACAGATGAGCAATGTAAATATCTAGAATCTGCTTCAGAATCATCTGGGAGGGGGGATGTGAATAGAAGGATAGATGAAACAAGACCCGCCCCGTGTTGGTTATAGTTGAAGGCAGGTGAGGAGTTTGTGGAAAGTTATGTCATGCTCTACCTTGGTATGTTGGAAATTCTTGGTAGTAGATTTTTGTTTTGTTTTTTAATTTAAAAAAATAGATTTTTTAATTGATTTTTAGAGAGAAACATTGATGAGAAAAACATCAGTCTGCTGCCTCCTGCACGCCCCCTACTGGGGATTGAGCCCAAAACTCAGGCATATGCCCTGATGGGGAATTCAGCCGGCAACCTCTTGGTGTGTGGGATGAGCCACGCCGGCCAGGGTCTTGGTAGTAGCATCTTTAAAAACATTCCCATAGCGGTTCCCAGGCTGGTTTTCCTATGACCATTTTAAAGTCTCTAGCAGGTGAGCCTGGCTTTCGATCCTGGACTTTGATCCAGTCTCCACGTCACAATGTAGTTAGTAAGCTCTCTATGGTGGTGGCTAAGCTGGATGACACATTCGTGATCCAACTCAGCGGCTGCCCTCTGTGTTGTCCTGGGAGGGAGGGTGGGGG